ATATGCTGAAATTTATATTGATATGGATTCATAAGAATTTTGCTACACTTTGCAGCCGCTTTATGCAGTGAAGAAACATGAAAGATTTTGGTTTGTTCAGGAGGTTAATTACTATACAGATGCTGATGTGATTTCTTCAGTATGTTCAACTCCTGCTACAATTCATACGGCCAGAGGGATAAATTTGTGAGGTACACAGTGCACAAGTAGAGAGTGTGCGCGCGCGCGCGCGCGCTCATTGATGTTTCATGGGGAAGATATTGAAAGTGACTGATTTCAGAACTCATACCCCTGTGGTTCCTATTATAAGTTTCCTCCAACCACTTCATCAGAACCAAGGAGAGATGGTTAAATCATTAAATTTGTTTGAAAATGAAACAGTTTTTCAAATTTACCCTCATTTAAGACCATGAATTATATCTTAAGAATCGGGAAAAAAAATTGCATCAAACTTTAAATAAGAACAATCTTGAAAAACTATAATTAATACCTTTCCTGGTTGGCTTATAATAATAAGGACCACATATTCCTTTTAGAAAGTGACTTATAATAGGTGTTAGAGTGGCAAGTCATAATACACCTTGTTTGTGTTAGTTGTTGAAATAAGCATCCAATGGTGATGATACAGGTTGGATGATCTTGATTCTAACACTTCAGTACAATCCAGCCCAAGTGGAATCATGAAGAAGCTCAGATTTAATATAGAGGGCAAGCCCATTTCTGGTCGTGAAAATAAGAATGCATCAAAATCCTTTAGGATGGGAATGAAGAGAGGATCAGATGGACTAAAGACATTTGGAAGATCACTGAAAAGTGGAGTCACCTGGCAAGTTTTCCCAGAAGATCTTAAAGTATCAGAGACTAAAATATTTGATCCTCAAGATAAGACCCTTTTGTTGTGGAACAAGTTTTTTGAGCTTCTATGTATTATTTCTGTGTCATGTGATCCTCTCTTCTTTTATCTTCCCTACTTCAACCTCAGATCTCACTGCCTTGCCATTGATACTGCTCTTGCATCTACTGCTATTATTCTGAGATCGGTACTTGATGCTATCTATCTCATCCGCATGGGTTTCCAATTCCGGACTGCTTATATTGCACCATCCTCTCGGGTTTTTGGACGAGGTGAACTTGTCATTGATCCTAAAAAGATTGCCAAGAGATACCTTGGGCGTTACTTCATTGTTGATTTCAGTTCTGTGCTGCCATTGCCACAGGTTGGACAAATTATTATCATCAGCTTCTTGTAGCCACTGCTTTGCTTCAAGGGTTATTTCTCCCCCACCTGTAATAATTCCATTGAAAAACCTAATGACAAATACCTAACTCATTCTATTTAAGTCTAGTCCAAGAATATATCAAATAAAAAGTCTAGTCCAAGTAATAATATTAGAGACAGGATCTAAAAACCCCACGCTAAGTCTTATTTTGGGAAACACTCTCTTCCTCTGAATGACTGAATGTAAATCAAATTTGACATAGTATTGCATAGATACTTTGTTTGAAGTGTTATAAATATATCACAGCTGCAAAATGAATGAAACAAGCTAAAAGCTGCTGAGCTGGGGAAGGAGAGTCCAGGACTTTTGCCACAAACAGATGAGCTGTAGTTCGCTTATGATTCTGCCAAGGATAGAGATGATAAATTATCATATTTTGAATAGAATTGAAGGATAGTTTTAGCCACAGTCACACCCTTGTCTTTGGCTACTGAAATTAAGTATTCTAGTATGGTATGGAAATTTGTCTCCAAGAAGTGGTGTTATGTATAGATGTTTTCAGTGCAGATTGTGGTGGCCAACTATCTTCAAAAAGCAAAAAGTTTAGAGGTGTTAGCCACAAAAACGACGCTATTGAGAGTGGTCATCCTCCAATATATTCCGAGATTTGCACGCTTTATCCCTTTAGCTACTGAAGTTAAAAAGACAGCTGCTGTCTTCTCTGATAATGCACTCGTGGGTGCCACCTACTATTTGGTTTGGTACATGCTTGTTAGCCATGTAAGTCCATCTTTCATGAATTCACACATGTCATTATGTTTCAATATGAGTTGTCTGAAAAATGGAGTTATGAAAGAAAGTGTTGTGACTTACCAACGGATGCTGAGTTTAATGGCAAGGCTAGTTCCTCTAGCAAACTAAGGTTCAAATTCCCATTGAAGGAGGTGCCCATATTTAATACCTAAACATGTCTAAAAAAAGGCTCCCTCCAATAGGAGGATACACATGAGCAATCAAAAAGGAAAGTGTTGTGATTGTATTGTGTTGTGCTTGTGTGATGTGACAGATAGTAGGGTCTGTGTGGTACTTACTAGCTATCGAACGAAATGACACGTGTTGGCAGAAGGCTTGTGCTGCTGCTGTTACTCAAGGATGTATTCCACATTTCTTATACTGTGAGAGTTCAAATAGGCGCCATCCTGGATATGAAGCCTGGAAAAATGTGAATGGGGATATTCTTGACAGGAATTGTGGAGCTGGGGGTGAGGACCCACCATTTGATTATGGAATCTACACTCGTGTGATAGAGAAGGGTATTACTGCCTCCAGTGATATGTGGAGTAAATTCTTTCTATGTTTCTGGTGGGGCCTTCAAAACGTCAGGTATATATGTATGTATGTATGTATGTGTATGTTCATATATGTTCTTCTTCTCTTATTTTCATTTCCATTCATTTTGCTTCCAGAAAATATCCAGTGGTGTATGCTGCTAACTTTTTACTGACTAGTCCAAAACATGCTTAAACTTGACAGAAGCTTGTCTATTTAAGATGTTCCATGCTTTATTCTTCAAAAAGCATAATCATGGTGAGTAGGGAAAAACCGGGAACATGGCTTATATGAAATTTCATTATACAATAAACCCTGTTTTCAGTGTTTGAGATATGGAAATTCAGTATATAATGAACACTTTGAGATGGCATGCCCACAACCCTGCATGATTTGTCCAATAAATGTAGTTATGTTTACTAAGTTGTTAGAGAATTCTACAGCTAATATTTAAAAGCCTAAAAACGTTTCGTTTTGTTTTCCTCAGCACACTTGGGCAGGGGCTTGACACGAGTACTTACATCGGGGAGGCTTTGTTTTCCATATTTATATGTATTTTGGGGCTTGTCCTTATGGCTCTTCTGATTGGAAAAGTGCAGGTAAGCAAAAGCTTAGCTTCACAGTTTTAGTTCCCTTATAAAAGGGCGATATGTAAAAATGTGACGATTTGGCTCAAAAGTTGCATGAAGAGTTCTAAGATTTGTGTTATGATGCAAATGAACAGAACTACCTTCAATCAATCACTGTTCGTCTTGAGGAAATGAGGATCAAAAGGCGTGATTCTGAGCAGTGGATGCATCACCGTGTGCTTCCTCAAGAGCTAAGGGAAAGAGTGAGACGCTATGATCAATACAAATGGATGGAAACTCGAGGAGTCGACGAAGAGAACTTGGTGCAGAATCTTCCAAAAGATCTAAGGAGGGATATCAAACGCCATCTTTGTTTGAACTTGGTTAGAAGGGTAAGTATACTCATATATACCTTAATATTGGGAAGGTTCGTGCTTGTTTGGGATCCCAGACTGATTTTTGTGGCCTTAAAAGTCAGTTGGAGCAAAAAATGTGGTTTGGATCAACTTTTTGCCTAAAAGTCATTCTGAAGTTAGAGCAACTTTTCTTGGCTTTTGGCTTATGGCTCTTTCAAATTTGAACGTTTTAAAACTAACTTTTTAATATATCATGCAAAGAAAACATATCTAAACATAAATTACATTTTTACCTCAATTTCAGTTAATTACAAAAGTCAGTTAGAATAAAAGTCACATTTACAAACATTAACCCAAACAATCCCAAATAACCATCACAGTTCTGAACTTCTGTTTCTGAAATGTATTCCTTTTCCTCATCAGCTTTCTGTGTATGTCTAATCATATGCAGGTTCCTCTCTTCGCTAATATGGACGAACGCTTACTGGATGCAATTTGTGAGCGTTTAAAACCAAGTTTATACACAGAGGGAACATACATTGTTAGGGAAGGAGATCCAGTAGTTGAGATGTTCTTCATCATACGTGGTCGTTTAGAGAGTGTGACCACAGATGGTGGAAGAAGTGGATTTTTCAACAGAGGTCTTCTCAAAGAAGGTGATTTCTGTGGAGAAGAGCTTCTGACATGGGCATTAGACCCTAAATCTGCAGCAAACTTGCCATCATCTACAAGAACAGTGAAAGCTATCAATGAAGTAGAGGCATTTGCTTTGGAAGCAGAGATGTTAAAGTTTGTGGCTTCACAGTTCAGGCGCCTCCATAGCAGACAAGTTCAACAGACCTTCCGTTTCTACTCACAGCAATGGAGAACATGGGCAGCAACTTTCATCCAGGCTGCATGGCGACGGTATATGAAAAGGAAGATGATGGAGTCACAACTAATAGAGGAGGAGGAGGAGGAGATGGAGGATGAGGATGAAGACTATGGCTCAGATGACGATGGAAAAGCTTTGATTTCAAGAACTGAAAGTTCATCCAGGGCTGGATTTGGTTCAACCATTTATGCTTCTCGCTTTGCTGCTAAAGCCCTTCGTGGTCGTAAGCTTCGTTCTCTCCAAAAGCCTCCAGAACCTGACTTCAGTGTTTATGATCATAGACATTGATTCATTACTCGTTCAGCAGCTGAAAGAAAGTAATTTCTGTGTCGTCTGCCTGTCTTACCCTGTTCATATGCAGAGAGATGAGAGTTTTAACTTGTATAGTAGAAGTGTAACTTAGTTTTTTGTGGCATGCGGGGCTTGGAGTATTGATAAACCTCCACCACTTTCGTTTCTGTAGGAGGTTCTGGTTTACTCTGACGCTTGGAAGCTGTTTAATTGTTCATAGTATGCTCCTCTTGCGGGTTGTACATGTCATGTTCATTTTGATACTCTAAAAAAATGAACTAACACAAAAAATAAAATAAAAAGCAGTTTCTTATATACCTTTTCAATTTTACGTATGCTTATAACCTGTTTGTATAAAAAATGCTTATAATGTGAGTCATGTAGATGTATGTTATATAACTAATCATACTATTTATAAGTCATAAATAGTACAGCTCATCCATAAATGTGTGTGGAGAAAATGTGTCCAATTAGTAAGCAAATAACTATTAGGAGTGCATAAGATAAAAATGCGCATATAGCATTGCATTGGGGTTGACTTTTCATATAAATTGGGTTGTATATTACATATGTTGACCGGATTTCCAGCAAATTGGTTCCGGGTTTTCTTGGGCACAATTGCTGGTGGCAGAAGTTTCAAACAACAAAAAGAGGCATATGAAATATTACATCAAAGAATATACAAGATAAGAAAAGGTTGTGCTTTTGGAGAATACATAATCATTCAAAATAAGGTTGAGCGGATCCAGTAAGATCTTGAACCTGCTTCAGGACTATGATGCTCAACCCCGCCATGCAGAAGATGCTTCTAGCTCAACATCTTCTTCCCACCATGTGCTTGACTGCAGAATCACACAATAAAGGAACCAGATATGCAACTTATTCAGACATGAACAAGATAGGGTATCTCAACCCAATCCACTCACGCACATGCCAACAGAAGCGAGAACAGCATCATATACAATTAAACCAAGGGAGAAGTGCACATAGTTCTTAGCTTTAATGCTCTATCATGTATGAAGAATAACAGTATTTTTTTTTTCTTTGGCCAAAAGAATGACAGTATATTATAGTGCATAAAGTAACATTGTGTTAAGAACGGAAGAGCTTTGTTCTGGGGAAAAAAAAAATTATTTATAATACTAAGCCGGCACTCAACTCTGAAGGCAATATGAACGATAGCTACTGTATCTTACTGCAAACACAAGGCAGGGTGGATCAAGCGCTAGCACACTTGAAATCATCATTTCACACAAGCAGCTAATTTAGGGCCACATTCTAGTTATAAGAAGAATGCCCAGGTAGGGCCATAGAAAGTGCAAATTTTACCCAGAGAGGAAATCCTGCGTTGAAATAAACAAATGACAGAGAAATCTAGCTACAGGCATACATAAAATTCTAAACGACAGATTCTTTATCAGGGGTAGACCTTGTAGCCTTTTCGAAGAAATTCTAGAGAGCTGCCCTCTTCCTCTTTAAGTCCTAGGACCCTCAACAATTCATCTTTGGCCTAGATCAGACAATAGATTAGCATGAAAGCATATAAAATTATAAAGAAAATAGGGTAAAGTCTATGAGCTTACTTCACCAAGGGTGAAGCGGGTTGCACTCTCAGCTACGCAAGCATAAGACCCATCTGCTTGCTTAAGCATCACCTGCCAAGGACCTTAACATATCATAAAGTTGAGGTCCAATGGTGTTTTTGTCAATGTCCAAAGAAAAAGGAGCAATAACAAACAATATGATCCAGGTCAACACTTGATTAAAAAAATATTTTGCCTACCAGGATACTGACGAAACAGTGCTCCACTGTAATTGACAATATAAGGAGCCACAGCAACTGTCTGAAGAATAGAATAAGTAAACAAGCAAAGCTCACAGTTGCATGCAGAATCAATATCTAGAGAAGATTAACCAAAGAGGTACCTTTGAATATTCTCTGATTCGAATATAGAACACTGGAGTAAATTGACAAAGAAATCGGTAGTGCAAATCTTTAGGTGGAAAGCCCAGAAGGCCTAAGTCAGCACTGTAAAGTCAATTGCAATAGTCTGTCAGTGATAAATGTATTTTAAGGATCCAGACAGATCAAAACTGAAAAAATGACAAGAAAACATACCGTAGGGTTTCTAGTTCAAGATTAAATAGAAGTGTTGGTGCTGAAATAGCAAATTTTTCCTGCACAATCCAACAAGTTACAGACTAATGGTTGATGATACGCATCATACTAAAGCAGCCTGCCACGGATGTAATAGATAATTAAATTCATTGAGGACTGTACAAATGTTTTGCTCTCAAAGTTGCCATACCACATACTGCTCTATGTAAGCAAGATCTCGCGTGCTGCAATTAATAAATATGTATAGCGTAGGAGGCTCACTAGACTTCCAACGACCTGTATTTGTAAGAAACATAAGTGTCAAACTAATTCTTTTGATCATGATCAGGTGATACAAACCTACACTCGATCTCAACAACATAAAACTTAAGGGTACACTTGGTACTTGGTAGGAGTAAAATGGTAGGCTGGCAATGCAGAGGAAAATTTTAACAAGGTATCTTAAAACAGAACAAGTCTAGATATATCCCCTCATTTCCATTCCTTCATTTGTACATTCACATCTTAATTCCACAAGTGACACCCTACAATAGTCACATAAATACTTTTCCCCCCAATACTTGCCTTCATTCTCATCTTCAAAGTCAAAATCAAGGGTGTCTCTAACAGATCTGAAAAACGAAGTGATAGGTCCACCAGGCACGTCATCTAGGGAACCTATGGTAATGCCATCAATCTGAAGCATAACAAAAATGAATCTTTAAAATAAGAAAGACTTTAATATGAGGGAGACACTTTTTGTTGAGATACTTTTTGTGTAAACGACCGCCAATCAATTGTTAGTTGTCATTGTTGAGTTGGAAGGATACGTTGGAAAAAATTTTCCGAAGATGACATGTAGTTGGGCCAATACAAACGAATATAATGTTACATTGAATTGGACTCCAATCAGTTTTTCCCATCTTAATGACATTGAAAAAAAAAACAAGAAGAAAAAGAAGAATGGTGAACGTGATTTTTTTTACTGAATCCAAAGCTGCTTTGAACAACTCAGAGGCCCTTCTTTTTTCTGGTTTATCAGGGAATACCTACAATTAGAACAGAAATGTAATTGTATCTTGTCCAAATAAGAATCAGTATTTATAAACATGTACTTCTTGCGTGGGAAACTGAAGGAAAAAATGTGTCTTCTTACTATGCAAGCTCTGGTCTCCCTCTTTTCCTGGAGCTTTCTCACAACAGCCAAGGCAAGTTGAATGTTTGCATCATTGTATTCATCTGAAGACCCCTTGAAATATTTAGGAATTTGAGAAAATTATGTGCAGTGTAATCAGGCAAACATGACTACAAAGGTCTAGAAATGAGAACAATGTCTTGAAGCATAAAATCAACATCTAGCCATGAAAATTTATAGATAATTAGATATAAAAAAAACAGAGGAAAAATGTCAAAACAATTGATACAAGGAATCACAATGATATTAAAACAAAAGATGAAAAAGAAACAACCGTAGATAAGGAGAAGTATATAGATCCACAATAACATGAAAGTTGTCATATACCACAAGTTTAAGCATCAAGAATAGTATCAGCCGCCAGACAAGTATAGCATGCACTTATAGCCATGATTCATGAATCCACTCAATCATCCATTAAATGTCGCCCATTAGTTTTAATGAATCTAATGGATACAGTCATATTGGATCCAACTTTTAATTGATCGTTATGGACAAATTATAAATTATAAATTGGATAACATCCACAGATGAGTCCTACATCAATAGGAACACTAACATATTTTTACAGTATTCTAAGAATGTCAACTGGTCAAATTTGACCCACTTATTACAATACACCAAATCTGTACAACTGCAACTCCTACTAGATTCAAAGATGGAAAAGAATACAAAGATTGACAGTTCATGACCTGACAAGAGTTATTAACTTAATCAATAATGATTATTGAGAGAAAAGAATGGTACCTTATAAGACGAAATGTTGCTGGGCAGAGGCCTGAAGACATAAGCGCCGGGAGCAAAATCAGGTATAGAAATGATAGCGTATAAAAGCTACAACCAATAATGTCAAAACCTAAGGTACGCCATTTACATATATTCTTCCCACTAAAAAATTATAATCACGTCTAGAACCCACCGAAATAAACTATGCATTGAGAGTGCATTAACACGTAACAGTATGAACATTATAAGTGCATGGTTCCCAAGGAGTCATGACCGGTATGAGCATTATATACATGATTAATTATTTGATTATTTGAATCAGAGTATTTCATCATATATCGCACAACTAGATAGGCATAATATGACTTACACGGCTAAAGAGAAAGAATGCAGATATTGATACCTACCAGTGAGTGGTCAAATGGAGCACAAAAATCATGCAAGCACAACAAAAGATAATGCAAGAAGAAACGTTTATGCAAGATGTGATGATATGCGAACATACAAGATTCACCCATTTTGGCTACTCATATATTCACTAAGAACTCGGAATTACATTTCACTTTTCAACGATATAATGGCAGTTAATTTTGCGTATGCAAAAGTGTTTAACCGTACTGCTTAAAGTTAACCCGTTCACCAAATTTCCTAGCCAGTCAAAATTCTACCAGTGACTGGTCGAACATACTAGGTCAATGAACAAGAACGCAAGAGTTTATCAATTTTTCTTTTCTCCCCCCCCCCCCCCCGGGGGTTGAAAAGAGTTTATCAATTGAGAGTTGAGTACGCCATAAATCTTGCAACAGCCCACCTAACATCCAATGCCCTTTTCCCATCGGTCGAATGGCGAACTCAATAGAACATAGTAAAACACCCACTACCAATCAAGTGAGAGCATTAACAGGGCAGTGCAAGATGCAGAATCCGGAATTACTCAAAATCGAGTATCGAATTGACACTTTTTAAGTTAAGAAAATGCAGACATAAAACTTCAAAGTTTTCTTTTGTCACATAGAAGTTCGAAGTTAAACACAGAAGAAGGGATAATCCAGCAATTGACTCTTCCACAAGT